AACTCCCCCAAAAGTTTATAGCTAAATCACAGAAAAGCCACAATATTCCTGTTGATGCTTTTCTTCTGCAGTTCCTCTTGTAGCCGAGGCACTCTGGATGTGCAGCCTTTCAGTTTTAGAAAGACTGATTCAGTTCTTTTTTGTTTGTTTTTTCTGACCCATCGTAGATCAAATATCTTTGCGTTGCATGGATGTCTAATATTTTCTGCTGATTCAGGTTGAGGACCTGAAGTGGGAGGTGGAGCAGAGGCAGAGGGAGATTGAAGCGCAGAAGCAGCAGCTGGAGATGATGGAACAGTGCCACCACAGAGAGCTGGACAACTTACAGATCGCCCTGCAGGCAAGCCTCCACTTTGTTTCTACAGCACTGTTTCTCAATCTTATCCCATTTACCAAACATCACGGACAACCTAGCTTGAAATTCCATCTTTAGAACGGTCTTTGAGAAAGACCGTTCTAAAGTATACACACTATATGGAATAGTGTAACGAATGTTTAAATCGTGGAATTGCTTTGAACTAAGCTGCCTGTTCGTTTGGCAGGATGCTGTAGTTTCTGCTCTTTTTGTTGTTTGAAATTAAAGCGCAGCTGTCTTGTTTCAGAACATAAAGGTGGAGCTGGACACCGTCCAGGAAGAGCTGAGCAGCACCAGAAAGGACAAGTTCATGCTTCAGGCCAAAGTGGGCGAGTTGAGAAACAGTATGAAGACCCTCCTGCTGCAGAACCAGCAGCTCAAACAAGACCTTAAACAGACTCGTCTCAGGAAGGTAAGACATCTTTCATCTCCCTTTATACGAGAGGCTGCGTAAGAGTTGAGTGCTGATGTGACTAAACGTGTCCCTGTGATGATGTCATCGTTGGAGCAGCAGCGGATGGAGCTGAAGAATGACGGGAACCCATCAAATCCAGTAACCCCAGTTAAGATCCCAGACTGCCCAGTGCCCGCCTCGCTGCTCGATGAATTACTGAAACCGTCAACTTCTGTAAACAAGGAACCTCTGAACAACCTGCACAACTGTCTACGACAGCTAAAGTAAGCGATCGAGCTGAAAGTAATTGTCAAACTTCGATGTGATTTATTGGGAGTTTATGTTGTGCCAACACAAAACTTGATGTAATGGTTAGAGACTAAGTAACTCTGGATGGGCTGTAGAGATTCACAGCTCAAGTGGGAGAAGTCTTTTTTTACAGGATGACTATCTGCTAGGCAATCCATAAATCTGACCATTTTCTGTAAAAATGGCAAGAAGAAAGCAATTGGTGGAGGAATGTCGCAGGAAATCATGTTTGCTGTTGCTAAAATCTATATGGGGAACATGGCAAACATGTGGATGATCAAATGAGACCAGAATGTAACTAAAGCTAACAATGTTTAGACAAGCAGAGAAGAAATGGACGTAGTAGAACGACTAAGTCAAAATCCAGACTTAAATGCTTCTGAACAATTGATGTTCAGAGCTACTCTCCATCCAATTTCACTGAGCGTAAAACCATTTAGTAAAGAAAAAGTGGTTTAAACTTTACATTAGGTGTGGAAAAGTACTGGATACATACCCTGAACAACTTACAGTAGGAATTTCAGCAACATTATTGTTTTATTAAAACAAGTATCTCTTGTAAATGAGATCTGGAATCTCAGTGAGAGAACCTGTATAAATAAAGATGAAATAAAAATAACATGTATCAAATCAGGGCGGGGCTAACCATGTATTTCACTTTTCTTCCATTATTTCTCTTAGCATTAAAAAGAAATTGAAAATCATTTACTTCAGGGTGTTGACACAGCTTTACAAAGTTTTATATTCTTGTATATAAAATTGAGGCATTAAAGTGTACTAAAACAATCCCAGTTGGCCTTGAGTACGTTAATCTGAGGTCTTAAATTTTCTCGTGACAGGACTACTAGTCTCGTTTTATCTTTCTAGTTTATTTTTCTTGTGGGAATTTTCTGTCGAGCAAATATTTGAGATGCATGCAGACATCTTCATTTCGGTGTTTGAGGCCAGCGCTTACTAGCTACTAATAAACCCTTGCTGTAGCTAGCTGGCTAACTGTTTTGCATCTGTCATCGCCAGTTAACTGGACGACGTTCGTCTTTGCCACCTGCTCCCTTCTGTTTCCAACCTATGCAGGGTTTATGCATTCTGTGCAAAAAAAAAACCCCCCCAAAAAAAACTTGGTACTACTACTTGAAAAAATTTTATATTTTAGAACATAAAATATGCAGTTTTCTTTTGGCCATTTCTGTTGTGATACAGGCATTAACTTTCCTTCGTAATTGTCTTAAAAAGCATTCAATTTGAGTTGGTGAAACCTGGAGAAACCCTGTATTACCTTTTCATTACTGTGGCTTTATTACGTGGTTCTGTCACATAAAATGTCAATAACATGCAAATTTTAGTGACTGTAACATGGTGAAATGTGGAAAGATTTTCAAGGCACTGTATTAACTGTTATCACATGGCACTTTGGGATTAAAAAGTCTTTTCCTTTTTGCTCTTAGGGAGGAGATGGACAGCCTCCAGAAGCAGATGGAGGAACACACAGTGACTGTAAATGAATCAATGAACTCATGGACAAATGCTGAAGAGGGATTGGCTCAGCTGGGATTTGACAACAATATCTCCAACTCACCAAGCGCGGTAAAACGTGTTGTGGAAAATAATAACGAAGCAGAACAGCAGCAATCATAACTACACAGCCCTTTCTCAGAGGAAGCGGGACGAGGTGGGGGGTATTATCCACAAAAGCACTTTTGAGCCCCCATACTCGCTTTCTCTAAAAAGAAATTGCTGCCAACATTTGGCATTCCTCCCTTCAGCACTGAAGTGCTTTTGCAGAGTGATACTTTCTATACCATAGCTTTATTCTTTTGAGTTTATTTTATGGGTTAAATTTATATTATGCATTTGTCACATTTATTTATTAAGATTTAAGAAATTAGAATGTTTGAAAATAATTTCCTTATGAGGATCCCCCCTGTAAAAGTTTCAGAAATGGGGTAAAGATGAATCCTTTCCCTCACAAATTAGCTAGTTTTCTCCACTAGATTCCAGTAAATCCTCCCTCCTTGCAAAATCGGTTGCGTCGATGCTGCTCAGCAATAAATCGTCATCTTAAGAAGAGTTGTTTGACAGAAACTACATCCTGTTCTTCCATATATTCGTGCCTGTTTTCTTGTGACTTTTCCCATCTGCTGTTTTGCTTATACTGACTTCAGTTTGTAATGAAACTGTTATCACTCCTATTCATAAAGTTAGATGACATGTACAGTTGGGCTCAGATTTTTTTTTTCTTTTGATTGCCTCTTGTTAAAATGCAGTGTTTGTCAGGTAATCATATCAACTTCCATTTCCAATCTGTAAAAATATTTCTGTTATGTTAGTCTAACATGAACTTCAGTAATTTGTATGCAAAAAAAAAAAAAGAAGCCTTAAGCAATGTTTAAAAATGCTGTACAGGGTGAAGTTGTTTGGAATGAGTGTCTTTTCTGGTCAGGGTGTGTGCAAAATGAGATGTTATTGTACAGGTGAACTAATCCTTACTGAAGAGCTGTTTATTGTAAGTAAAACACATGAAGTGATATTGCACACTAAATGATCAAGAGTGAACTGACAAAATAAGCTGTTAAAATGAAATGAAAAGTTACATCTACTAACAGCAGGTACTATTGCTTGTTTATTTTTGATTGTTACATTTGGTACTTACTGTATTTACAAAAGAAAAACTTGGATTCACCAAATGATATTGGTGAACTCTGTTCCTGGGGTTATGGGAAGGTTCACTGTTTTTCAGTGATAAATATAAATATGTGTCCTTTTTGTAATGTTGACTGATCAGATTTATGGTGGAATAACAATTTTAAAAAACTTGATATCGAAATGCAAAACGAGATCTAATGACAAATCAACCAGGATTTCAATGTTAGGGTTGCAATGGATTGTTTCTTTTTGCATGCAGTTGTGCTGCAGCCTTTTTGCTCCTGGATTGTAATTATTAGTCCTATGCGTATTCTTGTAAACTATAAAAGGGATACAAATATTAAATAAATGCCAGTTTGCGGCATTAATAACAAATGTACTCAGACTACACTATAAATTTATTTTGGGTTGTCTGCATACTTACTCTGGCTATTTTGTTCTTTTTTTCCCCAAAGACTGGAATTGTTCCCGATGAAATGTTTGTTTTGGAAAATGTCATCGCATTCATGATAAAGAAAATTGCACTATTCATATTCCATCTCCTGTCGTCCTTCTCTGTGTGTTTTTTAGGTATTGTCCCTTAGAATTCAACGTCAAAGGCTTAATTTTGTTCAGGCAGTATGTTGGACGAAAGCGGGTCCTGACGCTCAGCATTTTGAAAGCGTCGCGGTGAGAAGACACCTAGCATTAGCAGCCGGGGAGAGAGGAGGCGGAGGTTGGCGTGCTTCACTTAAAATATTTATTTCTAGCCAACAAAGAATTATGTTTTAGTTGCAAATATTTTTAGAACTATATCTGTGCTAAAGTCACTGATTAATATCCTGGTTAGTTTCGAGTGCTTGTAGTGTGTAACCACTAGCTTGTCATGCTAAACGGCTAATGACACTGAACAAACTGTTCCTTACGTCAAATCATTAAGCTGGTGTCACTGTAAAGTTTTTTCCGAGTCCACATCTCACACACTGTTCCACAGGCATACCCTTGTAGAGCAATTAGTTATGCCTTAAACGTGTTAAGCATATGTTGACTCGCATACATATCGGCTATATATTTTGTATCCATGTTTACGTTTCTGCATGTTCAAACGTTTCGTCATAAGCTGTTATATCTCATGCTGACAAGAGAAACGTGATATCAAGTTTATCAAGTGTTCACGTCTTGCGTTTTAGTGCAAGGTGCTGCGTTCACGCCGCACGGAAAATATGTACATAGACCGATCAGGCATAATAACTTGACCATCTGTGTGTTTGTTGCCAAATCAGTCTTGACACACAGGCATAGGGTCACTCAGTACCTGAGAGGAGCTGTGGTGTTAGCTGCAGATCCTGTAAGTTCTGTAAGTTGCAAGGTGGAGTCTCCCTGGATCGGACTTTTTTTTGTCATATCTCATAGATGCTCGACTTGATTTAGACCTTGGGAATTTGAAGGCTTGATCATCGCCTCAGGCTCATTTAAGCAGGATAACGACCCTGCAATTAGACACAAAATTGTACTTGCTGTCCAATTGGTTCCACCCACTGGTATGTACCATAAGGATGAGACCATCTGTGTTATTTCCTTTACCTGTCGGTGGTTAGAATGCTGTGCGTAGCTGGTGCATGCATATGATTTTTTTGTATTTGTTTACAAAAGGTTAGGATGCTTATAAAACTAGTACAATGCTGTAGAAGTTAATCAGCGAGACCCATCTGATGTTGAAACCCGTCTCTGGTGTTTTGTATTTAACACTGAAACGTTGTTGTTTTCTGTTTGTGTTTTGTGGCTCGGTGGTTATCGCTTTCCTACGGACCACGAATGCATCGCGCGCCCTCCCTTTAAAGTGAGCATGCGCATGACATGTTGTAAACAATGAGACTATTCCAGACCGTCTTGAGCTTTGTGTCTAAGTTTATCTGCAAAACTAAACGGTACTCCATACCTGTGAACCTTTGTAGCGAGATGTTCCTCGGTGAGTACAGTGACATTATTGCAGATGGATGCCATCGCTTACACGTGGATGTTTATCAGCATCATTACCACGTATCAGATTTGTCACGGTACAGCCCGAAAAACCCGTCTCGAATGACATACTTGGGCGTGACAGCATGCGAAAGAACAGTCCAATATTGACTCCCCGTGTTCCGCTCGCTGTGCAGTTGCATTCGTCCTTTTATTCAGCATTAATTATTTCCGCCATAACAAAGCAAAGCAGTTTGACGTGAGCCGTGTGTTAGCTTTCATACGCTCTCACTCCCCGGCTTCTTAAGCTCGAGCCTTCTTGGTTAGCAACTAGCCAGCTGAGGCTAGCCTAACTTTAGTGTCGTCTGTCCTTCTAAAATTATGTTCGGAGTGAAACTTCTGCTATTAGTACACGTTTTACGAGTGTTTTTTTTTAAGTACTCTATTAATAACCTTGCATTGAAATTAATTTGAATGATAGAAAGCTATTATAAATATTAAATGTATCCTACACAATGAAAAGGAAACACCTTTTTGTCGTTGGCTGGCATATTTTATCTTTTAAAAAGCTCCTTAATGTTAGAAAAATGATTAAATTCGCATTTAAACTTGGGCAACATTCGAAAAGGTTAGGATAAAATAAGTTACAGATATCAATCCCTATGTCACGTTTTAGTTAATTTCCTAGATGTGCACCTTCAAAGATAAACAAATTAAGTTATTTATAGCCTTATAATTTAATTTATACAAAGATTTTCAATTTTATATTTTTGTTTTTGTATAATAAGACAGTGCCATATTTTTTTTCTCACTGTGCTACTAAGGTTTTATATTTCTTTATGCGTAGAGATTCTCCAATCAGTTGACAAGAATGTGGAATTGGCTGATTTTGCATTATTGATGCAATCTGTGATTATCAAGTCAGATATATATAAATGGAATCTGCTGGATTTCCTTACATAGAAAGGTTTTAATCTACTTTGAATAATTAATTGCGCATACTGTTCTGTGTGATAACAAGGATCAACTGGAACATACATACGTTTGGATGGAAATTATTTTATTTTGTAAAGTGCCTTGAGATTTGTTGTGAACTTGCACTATATATAAGTAGACTGAACTCAGTTGTATTTATTGAATTATAACCAAGAACTGCAACATTTTGTCAGTATATCAGCTCATCCAACCAACTTTGATGCACTTTTCGAGCTTAATAAAAATCAGATAATGCTTCTGAATATATTTTGGGAGGAAAAAACTGGAAATCTATGACAGCTGGGAAAAGCCTGATTGGTGCATCTCTTAATTCACTTCTTTACACAGTGTTTATTAAAATTATGAATCGTAGTGATCATAATTGGTTAGAGTGTGTGTTGTGTTCCAGGGAGCTGAAGAATGGAGGCGGTTCTGACCAGGCTGAAGGGGCTGAGCGCCGCCGAGCTGTCCGAGGAGTTCGTCAGAGCAGACCTGAAGTGTGGTCCCATCACATCAACGACCCGAGCCACCTACGAGAGGAAGCTAGCCCGAGTTCTGGCCGGACAAGAGGGAGCTGCTGCCGCTGAAACGGACAGCAGCTGTTCATCCCAGGTCACAGACAGCGCCGCCAGTTTCTCCAAACCTGCGGCAGGTGCCACCTCAGCAGTTTCACTCGAGTCCGTTGCAGCCAGCAGCAGCAGCACCTCTCAGAGAAATGGTGAAGATTTAGACTTTGGATATGGTGTGGGTCTAAACCCTCCCGATGAAGAGGAGATCTCAGGAAAGTCTGATTTTAACAGCTCGGCCGACTGTAGCAGCTCTCAGTTCAAAGCAGAAACCCCTTCAAAGCCAGCACAAGCATCTCCGATGTTTTATTATGGAGTTTGTCCGCTGTGGGAGGACGTGTTGGCACGAACCGGTAAGATGGAGAACCTGCTCCGCTGGGGTTCATGTAAATGTTCTTAACTGTTTCTCTTTGATGAGAAACAACACATTGTTTACTGATGGATTCTTCTTAGTGTGCAAATAGCAGTTTGAATCCATCTATTTTTAACTGAGGCTAAAGTCCTTGTAAAGTTTATCCTGACTGTTTACCAGTCACTGTTGTCAACTCCTCTGTTTTTTGTTATTTTTCTCCCCAACTTGTGCAACTTTTTGTCCATTTTGAGCATTACGTGGGTAGATTTTTTTTCTTCTCTCTGTTTTTGCTTTAACTAAATCATTTTACTTTATATTAACTCATCACGTTGTACTTTTACATTAGCAGCTTCTTGTGGAGCATTTTAGTCCAAAATTGCCTGAACAGGCTCACATTACAGATGATTGGGGGGGCGAGGGGAGAGCAGAGAAGCTTTCAGGAAGCAACAGAACAGAAAGTGTGAGGCCGATCGGGACATTTGGCTCCTGTTCTTCCTGTCACCCTTCGTGACTTTTGATGTCAGCTACACACCAGGGACTTTGGAGTGGATGCATTTTGTCATGTTGCATTCGCAAACTTCAGTTTCATTTTATTTCATTGGGATTTTATGTGACAGATCAGCAGAAATTTAGGAAATATATCTTTCGGCTTTATAAATCAGGAAGATGAAAGTTACAGAATTAGAAAATCTGGCGACGGTTTTGGTAAATATTGTAATGATGACATTAAGAAAACATGATGGAAACAGGTGGGCCTAGAAGCACTCGGAAATGTAGTTCTCACCCAACAGGGTTGAGTAACTTTGTGTGTGTATCGCAGAGGGAGCACATGTTTACACGGATAAGAAAGACGCACTTCAAGCGGTAAAGACCATGAAGGGCGCACGCTTCAAAGCCTTTACCAGCCGGGAAGACGCAGAGAGGTTCTCCAAGGGACTCTGTGACTACTGCCCATCTCCCAGCAAGTCCACACCCTGCATCTCGCCCATCAAACCCGGACTAGTCGTCGGGAAAGGTGGGATTGTATGTGTGGCGATCAGACCCGTCGCATTATTTGGAAGACTGGAATAAAATCACAATTTTTTTTTTTTTTGCCTGATCTTTGAGCGCTATTTTATGTTTAATTTTTATTCTTTTTGGCATGACAGAACACGTGGAGGTGGACACCATCAACAGGGAAAAGGCCAACAGTTTTAAAAGCCCGAGGAGTCAGGACCTGACAGCCAAGCTCCGGAAAGCCGTGGAGAAGGGGGACGAGCAAGCCTTCAGCGAGCTCGTCTGGAACAACCCGCGCTACCTGATCGGCTCGGGGGATAATCCCACTGTTGTCCAGGTGAGAGCAGGAAGTTAATATTTTGATGTTACTTGGCGTTTGGCTATGTTCACACAGCAGGACTTGATGCTAAATTACAAGCACACAGCAGCGCACCGTTTATGGAAGTAGTCTTGGATTGAGCCATTTATGGATGGAGTTTAGAGTTGATCAGCAATAGAAGCACATATTATTGTTGGATCATCATAATAATAAGAAAGCTCAACTAATAGCGATGGCCTTTTGTGGAGCATTGACTGCAACTTCTGTGGAGAAGTCTGTTTGGATAGTCAGAGTTAACAGTGATGGGATTGTGATGTGATGCGCTCCACACTTCTTTCATATTTTCATAATCATAATCTCCAGCCTTTGTTTTTGTCCGGATTTACGGTATTTAGATTTTTCCGATGCAAGAATTTTGATGCATGTCTCACATCAGTGACACAAAAGTCAGAACACGGCATGATGCTTCGAAAACTACCAAACTATCACTAATCAAAATAGATGTTTGAGGGGACAAAAAGATGGGAAGTGGGCCACTTAGCCTGCGGTGGAAAAGTCGGATGTGTGTCTCGTTTGGAGGGGAAAAAAGTACATCTGGATCACGTTTGGAAGTTTCCCTAATTCTTTAGTAGATGCTAAAAACAACGCTGTTGGGATTTGTGGTCAGATATTTCAGCCTCCATTTTATCAGATTTAGATTTTTGTCTATATTTGTTTGTGTTTTTTTGGTAATTTTTTAAATTCAGCATCAGTCTGCAGAACGTTTAGCCGATCGCTCTAACATAATGGTGTGACAGGGTCTGTGGTGCATTCATGGTCATCGCTTTCAAAGTCGACTCCAACCATCAGAACCATTGAGTTGCTGCCAACCTCTCAAACACTTGCAGCCAGTTTGCTGCTGAGGTTTCCTTATGTTCTTTGCCCAGATCTGAACTTTGATCAATTCTGGTGTCAGTATTATGCATACAGCATGACTGAATTCAGTTTAATTTAGGCAAACATGACTCCAGAAATTCCCCTATTGTCTGTGAAGAGCATTAGATAAAAGAGGAAGAATCCAACCGTGTTTGAAAAGGTCACACTTGCATTGGTAACAAAAGCTTTTAGCCAGCCTCCTAAACCAAGGCAAAAACATGCAAGACCAAATGTGTCAGCTTTCTGTTGGAACAAGCTTTCCCCCTTGTGCAGGAGGGGCCATTAGTCAGAAGAGGTGTTGGATTTAGCTGAGAAATCAAAGTTTGCAATAATATCTGCTGAACATTCAAAGGCCAATCTCGTCTCTGTTTTTTTTTTTTTTTTCTGTTTTACTTAAACGTATTCGAGTTGTTTTTATCAACACCTTAAGATTTTTCACACCCAATAGGTTTTTTTTAACACACTATCCACATTGTGAAATATAATTGTGGCAGGTTTATGTTGATGGGGAAACTGGTCAAAGCTGATGGATAGGCTTGACCTAAATACAGGGCAATGCTGGAAAAAGAGAAAACCAGATGGAGCCTCCAAAACACTTGAAACCTTGGTTTATGTTTCCCTTTCAGCAGAACAACCTTAAACATAGGCCCAGAGTTACAAAGCAACCTATTTATTTTTTTTATTTTTAATTCAAGATGCAAAATAATAGCAAAAACAAATTGTTGTATGTCCCAAAAAAAAAGCTGCAGAGGTTTAGATCAAAACATGTTCATCTGTTTGAGACCCAGTCAAAGTTAAAATCTTGACCTATTTTGCAAAAAAAAAAAATATATGAGCAAAACTTTCAGGCTGTAGTTGTTTGAAGTTAATGAGGACGTCCCATAAATGACATGCAGCTGTAATTTCAGCTAAAGGAGGTTCTATAAAGTAGCTACTCATTGGGTGGGGCTGTGGGAGAGAGGCTAAATACAGATGGATGTTCTTACTAAAAATTAGAAACTATCCCTGTCCTTTTACTTCACACCTATGAACTCAAAGAAATCCAGGCGTTTGCGGTTGTAATGTGAAAAAAGATCCAAGAGTATAAAGCTTTTTTTTGTTTTTTTTTTGCAAGACAGGCGAAGGGGATGAATCCACATTAGAATAAATCTGAATTAAACGCCCGACTTCCAGAGTGAAAGGGTATCCATTGCTACTAAACCTGATGACTCTTTGGTTGTAATTTTGAAGCCAGAGTTCCATAAACTCTGGAACGTCTCTTCTATTAATAGAGGAACCCAGTCCGGCCTGGAACCGTGACGTGTGTTGATGCATAAACATCTTTTCCATTGTCGGCGCCAGCCTGCAGGAGAGACTTGCTTTCAGCTAGCGTCAAGAAGAACATTATTTCTTGTTGGAGAATAAGAAAATACACATTTTCTTCCCTAAAATAAGATGCCTTCAGTAAATCTGACCCTAATGAAGCTGAAACCAACAGGGATGTATGATCCACTATTTCACTTCAGATACTGATGTCTGAGATTTAGTATCGGCTGATATGATCCGATACAGAAAAACACTGTTGAATTGACTTGAAATGTTTCTTTTAAAAAAAAAAAAAAAAAAAAAAAAAAAAAAAATAAAAACTTATTAAATAAAAAAAAATTTATA